CTTTTTTTTTTTAATAAATTAATTTTTATTGGTGTTCAATTTACCAACATACAGAATAACACCCAGTGCTCATCCTGTCAAGTGTCCCCCTCAGTGCCCATCACCCATTCACCCCCACCCCCCGCCCTCCTCCCCCTCCACCACCCCTAGTTCGTTTCCCAGAGTTAGGAGTCTTTATGTTCTGTGTCCCTTTCTGATATTTCCCACACATTTCTTCTCCCTTCCCTTATATTCCCTTTCACTATTATTCATATTCCCCAAATGAATGAGAACATACACTGTTTCTTTCTCCGATTGACTTACTTCACTCAGCATAATACCCTCCAGTTCCATCCACGTTGAAGCAAATGGTGGGTATTTGTCGTTTCTAATGGCTGAGGAACTTTCCATTGTATACATAAACCACATCTTCTTTATCCATTCATCTTTCGATGGACACCGAGGCTCCTTCCACAGTTTGGCTATTGTGGACATTGCCGCTATAAACATCGGGGTGCAGGTGTCCCGGCGTTTCATTGCATCTGAATCTTTGGGGTAAATCCCTAACAGTGCAATTGCTGGGTCATAGGGCAGGTCTATTTTTAACTCTTTGAGGAACCTCCACACAGTTTTCCAGAGTGGCTGCACCAGTTCACATTCCCACCAACAGTGTAAGAGGGTTCCCCTTTCTCCACATCCTCTCCAACATTTGTGGTTTCCTGCCTTGTTAATTTTCCCCATTCTCACTGGTGTGAGGTGGTATCTCATTGTGGTTTTGATTTGTATTTCCCTGATGGCAAGTGATGCAGAGCATTTTCTCATGGAGGAGCACAAGTTCTAAGTAGTTCCAAAATTAAATAAATCCACACAAAAATATATTTTTGCAAAAGCACAGAGAGTAGAATGTGAGATTTCAACAGCTACCAAAGAGAAAAGACAAATTATCTAGAAGAGAAAATCATACCAAAAGCAGACTTTTCCAGAGCAATGATGGAAACAAGAAGGCTCTGGAATCATATTTTCAAAACTCGGGAGGGAAAAAATAAATCCATAACTTTATATCCAACTGAAATATCACCAAAGAACAAGTGTAAGATAAAGACATTTCAGACAAACAAAATCTACCAAGAACAGATTCTACCTACCGCAACTCCAAAACAAATATTTTCCAAAAGAAATGAAGAGGAAAAGTTGAGAAAATAAATTAATACACATGCAGTGAAATTTGCAATAGTGAACATAAAAAATGACTGGAATTACTCGTTTCTGGTGATAGAACAAGGTAACATAAAGTGTTGGTAATGATTTCAAGATAAAAAGGAAGCGACCAAAATTAAGCATTTTAACCTTGTTTATATTGTTGAGAAGGAGGGCAGAAATATTATAAACTTTAGGCACTGTTAGGTACACATGTCACAATTTTAAGGATAACTTTTAAAACAAAAATATTTAATTTCCTTTTTAGTAAGGAGATAAAAATGATTTTAAAACTCTTCAATCCAAAAAGAGGATAGATTTGTAGGTGTGGATGCAGGAGGATTTAGACTAAAAGTAGGGAGACTGACTAGTTTCCTAACTTAAATTATAATCAACATTATTTAAGCATATAAAGACCAAAAAAAAAAGTGTAAAACTCAGAAGATCCAATTTCTTTTTCAACTAAAAAAAAATTTGTAGTGTTTGTCAGTTCCATCCTTTTCTCTAAAATGTAATGGAGATTGTATCCATGTCAAAAATTCATATTCAGTGTTTTGGTTTTTTTTTTTTAAGTTCCAAAATTCATAGCTGGCACACCCTGTCTCCAGCATCCTGATTTAATTTTCCTCATTTTTGCTTGCTGCTTTATTGACTACATTGCTCATAATAGTAATGTAAATATCTGGGTATAAACAGTAATGACTGTGCAGAATCATAAGAAAAAAATCTAAAAAAACTTTATTTTTTAAAAAGATTTTATTTATTTATTCATGAGAGATACAGAGAGAGAGAGGCAGGGACACAGGCAGAGAGAAGCAGGCTCCATGCAGGGAGCCCGACGGGGGACTCGATTCCGGGACCAGGATCATGCCCTGAGACAAAGGCAGGCGCTTAACGGTTGAGCCAACCAGGCGTCCCTAAAAACTTAGTAATAAAAATAAAGGATACTTTGGAGAGATTACAGTAGAAATACCTAATATGGTAAAATGTTGACATTTACTACAATTAATCTGTAAAGCTACAATTCTAATATAAGACCAGCCAAAGATGATTATGATTGTTTCCTTAGGCAGGCTCACCTTCCTTCCCCCCTTTACCCTGCACCAGCTCCCCTTTTACTTCTCACTCTTGATTCAATTATAGAGCACCAGGCATATAGCAAATATGCAATAAATTAGTATTCTTTTAATATAAAAGAATGAATGATTCAACTGTTCTGTAAGCGATTTCTGGTTTACATTCTCAAAAACACTCCCATTGAGCCTGGTACACAGTACACGTCAAAATAATATCTAACTTTGAATCTCTGCCTAAGTATGCGAGCCAGCCCTTTGCCAAGCACATTTTGTGAGTTGATTACAATTGGAAAATTACTGTACATGTGTTCCTGAGAGTCACAAATAGATGACATTATTGACTTCTTAGTATCAATCTGATGAAGGTAACACACATTAAAATATAAGGGTAGAAGACCATTACTCATTTCTTTCTAAATACTTCTTAAAGTCAACAAAACTCTGACTTTCTATAATAATTTCTGTAGCTCCCTCACTATGATGTAGCTCAAGAAGTCTTCAATTTCTCTATATATTTCTATATATATGTACATATATAGATAACATGATCCACCCATGAAAGCATCAGAAATTCACATTCTGATCAGTTTTCCTATAAATGATCAAAAAGACTTCAAATGTCTAATGATCCCTATCATTAGGTCCCTATCATTAGCTGGTTTTCTTGAAACACATAAATATTAACACGTTACTAAGAATCGTTGCCCCGTATCTTTATCAGCTTTACATGTTCCCCCCCTTTACCGCTTAGTCATTCCTAATTAGCAGGAATCCAGGGGTCTTTTGGGAATCCTTCCTCAACTCCCTCAACTCATCGAAGAATCCCAGGGACTCCCTGCTGGGTCGGTACTTCCACCGGCATCCCCGGAGAGTCTCTTGGGCCTATAGGCATCCTTGCTTCCGTGGCTTTTACAAGTATCGTGTCATCACTAAACACAGATCCTGTGGAGTCACAAGGACTCTGGCTCAAGAACCAGGGGATACCCTAGCTTGGCCAGATCTGTGCACAACCCAGAGTTCATGCTTGGGCTCCAAGTTTCTGGCTCTTCACTTCCACTCACAGCCATTGCCCTCGAAGAGTGACCGCACATCCTAGCGGCTGGGGCCGGAGGTTCCTCAGTCTCACCATGTGTTGTGCTGGAACTTTCCCTTTTTTGTCCATCCTGTATCACCAGCAGATACTCTCACGAGGCATTCCCCTCTGGGGCTTTGGAGTCCTCTCATGCCAGCAGATGACTTGTTAGTGCCACCCTCTTAAAAACAGGATTCCCTAATTTCAACTCTGGAAGAAGAACATGACGTCTTTAATTCATTCCCTCGAAGGCTCCAGAGCTCCTTTTGCAAACTGATAAGCCAAAAAACCTTTTTTAAATTATGACATCTTTTTCTTAGGCAAGGAGAGTCTGGTGCCTTTACATTAACATAGCTAAGCCCAGCCACACCAATGATTCCTCTCGTAAGGAAAGGAGTCTGCTCCCACAAGAGGGACTTGGGTCTTCGTTCCAGAACCTCTAGTCACGGCACCCAGGTACGCCAGCCTCAACAGCTAATCTGGGCCCTCTGCGCTCAGGTAAGATCTAGCAGCCTGGAGCAGGCCGACGTTCCCACCGTGACAACTCGAAAAATTTCCCTCGCGTGTCCCCCTTGCTTCTAAGCCCGAGCCTCTCTCGACTTGAGCCTCTCAGCCCTCTGGGTGTGAAGTTTGTATTAAAGATACTGTTTTTAGGCACAAATGGTCTTTTTTAAACACAAACCATCTCCTACGGGCTCAGAGGAGAAGGGATCTGTTTTAATACTAGAAAAAACTGTTGAAAGGGGAGCAGAGCTCCACCCCCTTCCTATGTTTATAAGGAGATTTCAAGGGCAATTTTGATTATCCTTTGCCCTAAGTGCTGACCTTCGTACCTGCCCCTGGGTGAATGGGGACCGCTGAAATGTAACGGGCGCCCTTCTAAGAATTGCAGTCCCATGCAGAGTCCGTCCCTCTCAGAGACCCCCGCAGGAGCCACATAAAATTAGAAAGAGAGCAATAGGTTCTTGCTCTTCTTTTAGCTCAGTGGTTGAGCATCTGCCTTGGGCCCAGGGCGTGACCCCGGGTCTGGGATCGAGTCCCACCTCCAGCTCCCGGCATGGAGCCTGCTTCTCCCTCTGCCTGGGTCTCTGCCTCTCTCTGTCTCCCGTCAATAAATAAATTTTTAGAAATGTGTTTTTTTTGGTTGAGGCCATGCAAATCTAAAATGCCTACCAGGCTGTGCCTCTACTGGTAAACAGAGATCTTTTCTTTGGCCACTTTATCTTACAAGATGCTCATCACCGCCCTTAAGGGGCTAAGCTAGTCCTGGGCGAGTCCTCTTGCATTGACAACGCTGGGCCTGGGGCCTGCATTGGCGACACCCTGGGGTCAGTAGAGAATGTCTGTGAGACATTCCAACAGACAACCAGAGATGCTAATTTAAAAAAAGTTTTTAAAGACTAGGTCCCGGCCACACCCTCCACCACACCCCCACACCCCACACCCCCGGCTGGCCCCACCCCACCAGGCCCCCGCCCTCTGCAAAAAAAATAATAAAATTAGGTCCTGTCCCAGATGAATTGAATCAGATACTCTGAAGATGGGCCCAGATGAGGTATTATTTAAAACTTCTCCTGGTGATTATGATGAAAACAAGTTAGAGAACCATTGACATCCATTATCCCAATAAACTCGTAGCCACACTGTTAAATAATTTGGACAAAGCAAAATACACAGCGTGCTCAGCATCACGATACTAAAACTGGCACATTACAGACCAGATTAGCGCTGCCCCTGCACGAGGATCAGGTGCAAATTCGTGAAGCATTCCATTTTTTTTTAAAGTAAAATATACAGCAGTAACGGGTTCCTTATCTCCAAATTTTTTCCCTGACTATGTCTTAAGTAGTTACCTCTTAATTCTAAATTTTCAACTTTGCTGATGATAATCCAGGATGAGACAGCAGAGCCTGGGGGCCCTGTGCTGTCACGGTCTGTTGGGAAGTGGGGCAGCGGGCCAGGAAGGCGTTCCAGAATCCCCAGACCTGCTTCAAAGGGCAGCATCATTATTCTGCTAGTTTTCTACATCCCAAAATTTCAGAATTATCTGAGTTCTGCTTCTCAGGCAAGATCTGTGTCTATCCATTCTCATTCATTCTATCCTTCCTTTTCTTTCTCATTGTCACCACCTAGACCGAGGCCCTGCTCACCTCACTTCTAAATGACTACAATTCACACTGAGCCCCGCTGGCCCAGACGCCTCGCTCTATAAATCATCTTGCTTGCTCCAAACAACCCTCCATTTCACTGCCGTATCCCAAAATTTTCACTGGTTCCCATTACCTAAAAGGCCGAGATCCCTTGCCCCTCCATAAATTAGCCCGAACCACCTTTCCAAGTCTATCTGCACCTTCCTAGTCAAGCTGCTCACGGCTGGCTGGATGCGCAAGCACATTTTCAGCAAACACTGTGCATGGTGGGAAGGGCAGGGCTTCGCCATCGGACAGCCCTGTGCGCAGACCCTGATCCCCCCGCGTGCTGGGCCAGCGCGGTGGTGTGTGTGTGGGGGGGTACTTAGCGCAGGTGAGTCACGGAACTCACCGCCTAAGGCCACGGTAAGGATTCATGAGTTAGTGGGCAAAACGATACCAAGTGGCCCCTTGGACGTAGTAGATATTATTACCATTTGGCCTAAGTTATTTTCCCGGCTTGTAGTCGACCCTGTTTCCATTCCTTCCAGGACTGGTTATTAGACTTGTCTCTGGGTCTCAAACCCACCCTTCTGGGCTGGGCCGGGGGCTGGACCCAGGCTGCACCCCTGTTCCTTTTCGCCAGCTGCTCCTTGGCAGCTCTTCCAGAAGGAGGCACTGCAGGGAGGGGTAGGGCCGGCCAGCAAGAGTTCCTTCTGCAGCGGGAGCTCATCCGTGTGCAGGCCTCCCCCACCCCACCCCCAACCAGCCTCGCTGTGGCTCTAAGAGGCACCAGCACCATCTGGCAGGACCCCTGTACCAGCTCTGGGACCTCTTCTCCAAGGTTCTAACTTCTAATCCAACCTTTGCTCTCGGTTCCCCACCCCCTACGGGCTGCTGCACTTTCCTGCTCTTCCTGCCTCTGAAATACCTCGGAGGCCCCTTTATGTCTCCAGAACCTGGTCTCGAACTCTCCCCATTAAATAGTCTCTGTTAACACAGCGGGTACGCTGCGTGTTTCCTAGCGGGCCCCTGGCTGATCCTCTTTCCAGCGCTTCCCGGCTCCCAGGTGAACACACACCTTGTGGCCGGAAGGCCTGCATGTCTACGCACCCCGCGAACTCTCACACACCCCCAGAGTCCCCACAGAGGACGGATGCGGTGGCCTTGGGATACATTTCTGATCTGATTCTCTCGTCTTATCATCGAAGCCACTGAGGCCCGAGAGTCAGAGCAGGGCCTCCACCGGGCTCTCCTGCCCGCCCTCTGGCCCACAGGTACTTGGCCTTCAACCACCTGAGGCCCTGCAATGTCTCCTCAATCAGCACCCAAGCAGGTCACTTAGCTGAGACCCTGTGACTTCGCTTTAGGCATCGTTATAAAGCGACGCTCCTGTGCGAGTCACTAGGCTCAAAGGGCACTGAACTCTGCGCTACACGCCGTGCACCCGAGCGGCCTCCTCGGGAGGACTCCAGATCGAGTCCGGGGAATGAATGATTTAAAGATTTTTTTTTAATTTTTATTTATTTATGATGAGAGAGAGAGAGAGAGAGAGAGAGAGAGAGAGAGAGAGAGAGAGAGAGAGAGAGAGGCAGAGACACAGGCAGAGGGAGAAGCAGGCTCCATGCACCGGGAGCCCGACGTGGGATTCAATCCCGGGTCTCCAGGATCGTGCCCTGGGCCAAAGGCAGGCGCTAAACCGCTGCGCCACCCAGGGATCCCGGAATGAATGATTTAATTAGCCCCAACGTTTGAGCATAAGTGACGTCTACATCTCTCATGTGTTCTAGATTATTGCTAGCAATAATCAACACCTGAATCCAACAGACGTCGGAGAAGAGTGTTCGGCCTTCATAGATGCTGGAAGGTCTCCTGTTGGCCTCTTATACGCAGCACAACGGAAGCTCTAACAGGATTCGATAAGGACGCGCATCCTACTAATTAGACAGGAAGTTCACATAAATTCACGGCACAGTTTTATCAGGTGACGTTTCCTCATTGATAGAATCTAATACTAAAAGTCATAAATAAGTCTTAAATAGGACAAAACATTTTAAAGTACAGTTTTCAATTTTTTTCCATAAATTTGGCTCTAATAAAATAACCTTAAATTATGCAAAAAGGATAGTAATTGCAGTATAGGGAGCGACGGACCCAGTGAGATTTTTTTTTTTCCCAGCAATTTCTGGAGCAGTGCGTGGCTGTGACAGCCTGCCACGGGACAACACGAGGACTCAGGGAGTGTGAACTGATCGTTGCCATGGTCCACACCTTCTATACATGCTTTCCCTGCCACGTCTCAACTTCTCTTCCAAAGAAGGGAGGCTCTGCCTTGGGGTCGGGCTGTGGAGACAAGTCATGGCAACGTGTGGCAGCTGAGTGATGACAATGAAGAAGGGCGGGAGGGTGCCCAGGAGGAGGCCGGGTCTCTCCCCAGAGCAAGGCAATTGAAGATCAATCGGTTCACACAACTTTGGCCTGTGCTAATTTCTTTATATTGATTTGGAAAGTTTCAATTGGAGATTTTAGCCAGATAATTAATTTCTTTCTCTGCTTGTTTTTGCATTTGAATTTTGGCCAACCTTAGAATTTAGGGATAAAGTGTCCAGTGGAGCAGAAAAGCATTCGGAGAAAATATTTAGGGCAAACATATATTTAAACGCACCTGTGTGCTGGATGCTGAAGGGCCTAGGGCAGCGCTTCCCAGACTTTGCTCCCTATTAGAACTACCTGGGCAGCTCGAGAAATGAAAGCACACCCCCTGATGCCTGGCTGCGCCCCCATCCCGACCCAATCACGATGTCTGGGCAAATCAATAGTCTTGAAAGACTCCCCAGGTGATTTCAAGGCACAGAGAAGATTGAGAACAACTGGTCTAGAGCAAAGACACTGAGCTCGGGGGCAACCCAGCCCCGGGTCCATGCTCTCATTCTTCCACTCCCGAGTTGTGTGACCTCGGGGAGAAGTAAAACACTAGAAGTAACTAGGGCCAGAAGTTACCCCCTAAGGAGAAACAGGAGAAGCAACTACTGTCCGGGGAGGATCAAAGGAGGCTTCACAGAAAAGATGGCCGTCGACCTGAATTGTGACCCGTGGGACCATTTGGGTTGGCAGAGTGAAGAGATGGATCTTTCTGACAGAAGGAATAGCAGGTGGAGGCGTGGGATAAAGAAAACCGGGTTCGAGGAACAACGGGGAGGCCCACGTGGCCGGAGCGAGGGGCACCAGCGTGGTGGGCAGTGTCAGGGGTACCACGGAGGCCTTTGTCCTCCCAAGAAGCCTGGGCCTTTCCCTGCTCACCATGAGCAATCAGTGCTATCTCTGAGGCAGAGACAGGATGATCAAATCTCTGTTTTTAAGTGAAAAGCGAGGAGTTTAGAGGTAGGCGAACCAGGAAGATGGCGATGGCAGTGGAGCTGGGAGAGGGAGTGAGGCCCCGAATCACAGACCGGACACCAGCTGCATGGCCGCCTGGCAGCATGAGCTGCTCATGACCCGGGGGCGTCACCCTCTAAGGTTTCTACGTACGTGGCTGGTCGGTAGGGTCATGTACACAAGATGGGTGACTTTTAGGGTGAAGACTCCGAGTTCAGTTGGAGACAGGCCAAGTCCGAAGTGAGGTGTCCCACTCGCGGTTGGAAATGTAGGCCAGGCGCTCAGAAGAGTCGGGGTGGAGTCAACGTGGGTGGGGGAGCGACCAGCGTGTGGGTGAAGCTGAGGGAGAGAATGACACGGTGCTGGGAGGGAAGCAAAGCAAGGAGGCCTTCCAGGACCAACAGGAGAACTTTGGGAGAGGCCCACATTTAGAGCGACAAAGGGGAACTTGGGTCAGAGAGCCTCAAGGAGAAGCCGGGGAAAGAGAGTCATGAAGGTCAGGAGAGGAGGCTTCCCGGGGCTGCGTGGGCAAACTGGGATTAGGAGACGGGCAGTCGTTGTTTTCCTTTGGAAAAGTAGGACGTGTGGGGCCCGAACTTGGGGGGTTGGAGAGGGAGTGTGGGACCGTGTTGGGCATGAACTCCCTAAAGAAGAGGGTGGGGAGATGGTGAACGGTGGCTTCGGGGAGAGGGAAGGCTGGAGCAGCACTGGCTTCTGTGGACATATTTCACCACTCGTTGAAATCCACGACGAGGACACCGACCAGGAGGCAGCAGAGAGAGGAAAAACGGGTGCGGTCGTGTCCTGGGGAGAGGGAGCAGGTGAGCCAGTGCGGCTCGAAGGGGGGCTGGGCCCAAGGGGGAGACACCCGAGCCTGGAGTTAATGCACCATTAATGAAATGCATTTTTAAATGGGCTGTGGGACCTGGCTGGCAGGAGAAGGGCCCAAGGAGGGCGAGGGCAGGGCGCTGGGGGCAGGCGGGGGGCAGGCGGGGGGCAGGCGGCCGGCCCGTGGGCGGGACACGAACCGGACACAGGCTGCCTGGGAGCAGGTAAGGAAGGGCCTGGAGCCCAGGCTGCCTCAGGAAGGGAGGTGGGGCCTCCAGATTTGGGGGATGAGGCTTCGGGACCGGGGTCAAAGCCAGGGCACAATGCAATTAGCACTGAGAAGTGGCCCCTAAGCTCTGGGACATGGAGCTTTTTTTTTTTTTTTTTTTTCCCACATGCTGTTTTCATTATGTTTGGGAGGGACAGGGGGTGAGACAGGGGATAAGC